TTTTTATTTTAAAAAATTCTATATTAAAAATTCTTAAAAACCTTTGAAGATTTTCGAAGATTTCTCCAGAAATTTTCGAAAATTTTTTTTTAATTTAATTATTCTTGTTATAAACTTTAGAAGTTTATTTTTTTTTTTTGTTTAAACAAAACAATAAAAAATTTTCTTGAAAAATTATTTATTCAAATAATTCATTTTTCAAATATACTTTTTATTAAAAGTAATATTGGTAAGGATATTTTTCAAACTTTATAAAAATAATATATAATATAATTAATTAAAAATCTTAATAGATTGATTATAAAGTAAATATATTGTTCTTATATTAAAAAAAATTTTAAATTGGCATTTATTAATCTTTAAAATAAGATATATTTTTTTAGATCGGATATGGAGATGTTAATTAAAACTACATTATCGCTTCCAATTGTAAACTCGATATAAATTAATAAGAAAACATCTTTTGTTACAAATTTATTATGCATCAGTCAAACATTGAGAAAGGAAAAAGAAACGCTAATTCCATATGCTTTTTAGATCTTTCCTTACAAACGTCTACCTCTGCGACCACCCTTTCTGCGAGCTTTTTTAAAAGAAAAAAAAAAGTGAGAATTCGTAACAAAATGTAAAAAGCTAAGCATATAAATTAATACATACTGCTATCTGTGGGAATAGGCGTAACATCCTCAATCCTACCAATTCTCATGCCAGCTCTGGCTAAAGCTCTTAAAGCCGATTGAGCGCCAGGTCCAGGAGTTTTGGTCCCATTGCCACCGGTGGCGCGGAGTTTAATATGTAAAGCACTGATACCTAATTCCTTGCATTTTGCAGCAACATCCTGAGCTGCCAACATAGCAGCATATGGGGATGATTCGTCACGATCGGCTTTCACCTTCATACCACCTGTAATATTTCATTCAAAAAATAGAAATTTCGTATAACGACACAAATAATAAAAATATGCGTCAGTTTTTATCATCTTGGGAGTATGTGTTTCACCACTTGTCCCTTAAAGAAATTTTTCAATTGAAAAAGTTTTAAATCATAAACATGCAATAGGATGTTTTCATGATATTGGATTTGAGTACCAGGCAATTTTTCTTTTAATCAAGAAACAATCAATACATTGATTGTGCCGTTCCCCAAATTACAATTCCATGATGCAAAATTAAATTGTTTCTGAAAGAAACTTTGCCTTAATTTAGGATATTATGAAACGTCTCGAAATTAAATAAAATAATGATAGAAAAGTGAGTTCAAAGTAGATTATTGGGAAAGCGATCCATACCAGTAACACGAACGATAGTTTCACGACCGGACAAATCAGTAACATGAACAAAAGTATCGTTAAATGAGGCAAAGATATGTGCCACACCGAAGACTAGTTCACCCTCTCGAACTTGAGGCCCAAGGGAAATGTTTTCTTCAACTTTGACTTTCTTTCCTTTCTTAGACTAAGAATGGATGAAACAGAATAATGTTACGAAATCCTTCAATTTTCCTTTTCCTTTATAAGTTTTCACGAGAAATAACTTTTCTGAAAAAAATTTGAATACATACCATGTTTTGATCGAGAAACTATCAAAGCTCAACACTGATTGAAAAGAGAAAGAACAAAAATTTTCCTATCTTCGGATTTTATGAGATTTACAGGGCTGCGGTCATTGATTGGTTGAGATTTGTAATATATTATTATACACGTGCAAAAAATTTTGCTACTCCCCAAGTTGTAAAAAAATGTCTTCACTTCGGAATGCACTTCAACGACGCAATCATAAAGAACGAGCTCAACCGCGCTCCAGAGAGAAACATGGATTACTTGAAAAACATAAAGATTATGTGCTTCGAGCACGAGACTACCATGCAAAACAGGAGACATTGAAGAAAATGCGAGAGAAAGCATATTTTAAAAACCCCGATGAATTTTATTTTAAGATGATAAATAGTGCGACTAAGGTATACCTTTGGATTCCTAGACAGGGTTATCTTGAATTATATTCGACTTCTCTCCATATTACATTTAATGTAGGGTGGTGTTCATGTGGAACGTAATTCAGCTTTTTCTGGAGATGTCATCAAAATGTTAAAGTCACAAGATTTGAATTATGTGAAAATTCAACATGACCTTGGAAAGAAGGTATATGTGAAAGATATTTGTTTTGTCACTTGGCAAGTAAATGAATTAACGATTTAGTTTTAAAGAAAATAGAAAGATTAAACAATGAATTGCACTTTATCGATAATGACATTATTCAAGATCCAATGAGTTCTGATAAAGAGGAAGATGAAGAAAAACATAAATCTACAAAATCGCGACACATTATATTTGTTGAAACAAAGGAAGAAGGTAACATTTTTTTTTTTAAAAAAAAAAACAATAATAGTTAAAGTCTTATGCCATTAGCAAATTAAATGGATTCTATTCTAGCTAAGAAATTTGACCCAGCCAAACACTTTGATACACTGCCCGAATTGATTGGTCGGAAATTTAATAGACCTCGGATAAAAACATTAGAGAATGAAATTATACCTGCGTCAGGAGATGAAATAATACTTCGGGTTAAATTTACTTTTTTATCTACTCAAATGGTTTTGTTTTAATTATCATTGACTTTTTATAATGCCTTTATCTAGAAATTGCATAAACAACGCTTAACAAAACACAAAGAACTTAGAGCTCGCTTAGAAAGACAGGAGCAATTGAAAAAAGTGGAACAAGAGTTACAAATTCAGAAAAACCTGACGGTACGTTTCATTATTGAACCTTTACTGACAGCATATTTACATTTCAGTTTATTATAATTATAGGGTAAAGGTCGTCGAAAAAAAATTGGGGTTGATAAAAATGGATTGTCAATATATAAATGGAAAAACGATCGTAAGAAGTAAGATTTGGACGTCAAGATTAACTTCCACGGTATGTGGTATAGGAAAAAGGGCTAATTAACAGAGGAATATGATAATGTTGATCGGGTTCAGTTATCTGGAAAATCACCTAAAAATTTATTTAAATCGTATTATCAAGTCACAACTTTACCAAAAAAACTGATTGATCTAGAAATACTGAATACCTGAACAAAAGGATAAAAAGATTTCTGATTCAGAGCTTTAAAATAGGGAGCGGTATAGAAAGTGATACGATAAAGTGCCTTCGCTGTGTTATCATCATCATAATAGTCAATTTTGATTTTATAATCCGAAGGAACCAATGAAGGGCACCTTCCGTCTTCATTAGTTATTCTAATTACAGTGTAATAAATAATGTTACGCGAAAACCAATAGTATAATAAAATGTATAGGAATTTACGTACGCTCGACTAACTGCATTCCATCGCTTTTCTTCACCCGGTTCAAGTTGTTCCAGTTGTACTTCAATATTTTTTCCTGGAATGCCCCTTGAAGAGTCAAGTACATGGCAGGTTATTGGGCCACTTTGTTTCGACATTGAGACTTGTTGAGGTTTCTTTAATCCAAATCAGTAACTTACTGATTACTGTCTCTACCATTATTGGTTGAATAAAGTCACGCGACATTGACGATTCCGATAATCATAATCCTGATAATCTTTGTTATTGTATAACTACAAATATTTTATTATAACAAAATTAGTAAAAAATTTATTAAAGGTCTTATTTAAGACATGTACACAATTTCACATCAGGAATGACATCTTTAAAAATTTACAATGGTTGTACTAGTTTATATAATCACTCCAGATCAAATACTCTACACCAAGTATTGATATGTTAGATGCAATTCAACATCCCGTCGTTGCAAAATCCCTCAAGTATGCTGGCACGACAGTAGGTCGTGACAAGGCCTACAGAGGAGTTCAGTACTTCGCTCGTTTTTTGACTTGGTACCTTAGTCGTAAAGGTTACGAAAAAGAAACTGTTCAGCGATTTAACAATTTGAAGAGTACCTTGGGTTCTTCCAGAAAACGTATATTATAATTTCATAAGGCCAGTTTATTGTCTGAAATTCTTTTGCTTAAGACGCGCTAATATGTATTTTTTATTTTAGTCATGCGACTCGGGAAATTCATAGAACATTTGCAAAATGCTTCTAAGGCTTTTAACGATACCGATGGCTTCTCAAAAGCGACTACTGTCGGTAGACAGCTGAGCTATTCTGTATACTTATTTCTGGATACCTTCTCCTGGGTAATTAATGTCTTTATTTCTTTATAATTAACATATTAACTCTTAGTTCAAATTTGATAATTAAAATAATTCAATTTCAGATTCATGCCTCAGGTGTATACAAATTCAATCAAATCAAAAAAATAAACGAAAATGCCTATAGATTTTGGCTTTTCGGCATTGTATTCTCATTGATTCATGGTGTATACAAGCTAAACCAGAATAGACACAGGCGCAATTACTATGAGAGAATTAATAAATCGAAAATCGCAGAGAGCGGAGAGCATTCCAACATCCGTGCTGAAACAGCAAAACTTAGAACGTTTGTATAAAAACCTTGTTGTCTTGTTTATTGAGACGTAGTGTTGATCAATTTTCCTTTCTAGGGAACACAAAAATCTTGTCCGACAATTCATCACGGACATCCTCGACATTTTGATTCCAGCTACAGCTCTTGGACATATCAAGGTTGAAGACGGTTTGGTTGGTCTTGCCGGAGTGATCTCATCGGTGTTGGGTGCACAGTCACAATGGAATAAAGTTAGCAATTTAAAGTAAAAGGATGTATTTTTAAAGAAAATTATTAATCGACAATGGGATAGTGTGATAGTACGTTAAACAGTAGCAAATTATGTATCTCGTTACCTTGTTGCGTTGGTTTTGAATTTAGAATTTTTTGAAAATAATTTCTCGATAAATAAAAATATTGTATGAAATCAAATCACAATTACCAAATATTAGTTTTAAACATATAACATTGAATTTAATTATTATGTCGTAACAAGTTCTGTTCTATATCCTGGAATTTTGTTTTTAATAAAGTATATACAGTACATACTATTTTATTATTCACAATTACTCGCAATATTAATTATATTTAAAATATAACTATATATACATTTATACTATATATTTTGATATTGAACAAAAAATATTAATTTAAGTCAAAAAATAAACGAAAATAAAATGATATATAATCATTAAAAAAAATTATTTTTATTATGACAAAAAAAATTTTTTAAAGGTTAAAACAGTCTATTTGTAAAAATATCCAAATACAAGTATATATTTCTTGAGTGCAAAGCATAAAAATTACTCATTCAGTATATAAAAGAATTTTAAATTATGCTATACATCTTGAATGTATCAGAATTATTTAAAAAAAATTGATATTTAAATATAGAAAAATATTATAGCTATTTTATATAGACTTGTTTTTAAAGTTATTTTAAGAATTTGATATATTTATTTTTTAATTATAACAAATGTTCAATAAATAGAAAGCATATTTGAAAAACATTTAGAATATATAAAATAATTATTTTTTTAAACTTTAAAAAGTAATAAAAAAATATAATATTTAATTATTTTAAAAAAATTTTTATATTAATAACCAATATAATTAAAATATATATCTAGAATTTATTAATTTAATTCTATTATTTGATTGCTAAATTATAATTAATTTGATACAAATTTATTAATAAATAATATATATGTTAAAGTTTTACTATTTGATCTAATCTATATTACTTGATATTTAAAAAATTAAGAATTTAGTAATAAAAAATCAATATCTAACAATAAAAATAAGACAATATTTAGCAATAAAAAAATATAATATTTAATTAGATTTAATATACATATTTATAATTAGAAATATTAATTAGTTCTAAGAATTGAATTTTAAATAATTCTTTTATTAAAATAATTCCAATTTGATTATAAATTAAGAAATTAATAGTTTGGTAATTTCTGTATTATATTGTGATCAAAATCCGTTTGATCTGTATTCGAGTGATAGTTTTTAGAAGGAATTAGAGATTATATAAAACAGTCCATTGTTCCAGAGATAATCTCTCACAAATATTCCAAGGTATGGCAAAGATTTCCCAATGAATCTTTGTAACCAAAATGTGTTTAATAAAATAAGAGTGTTTTATTAAGACACTGAGACAAAAGTCAGACAATTACAAGAGTGAATTATCAAGAACTGAGTGAAAATTACATGAACAGCAGCTACTTATATAGTGTTTTCTATTCTAGGCTATCTGGGCTGTCTGGGTTGTCTGGGTTGTCTGGGCTACCTGATCTATGTGTCACAATGTCATAATTTCATAGATCATAGGCCTTATAGATCTTTTGGGCCTTCTGGGCTGTTTGGACCTTCTAGGCTGTCTGATCTACATTACACGTGCTATAAATAGATATTTATACTATAATAAAATAATAAATCCTACTGCTAAAAATAAACTAATAATAAAAATAAGTAAAAATAAAACTAAGTTATCTATTCTATCACATTACTATACTAAAATGATGATACAATTGGATATAGCAAAAGAATAAAATATTGAGATATTCTTTTTTTTTCAAGATTAAAAAAAGTTTTCATTAGATTGATAATTGATTTAGATGGGTTTTTATTTATTAGAACAAATATTTTTCTTTTCTTTTATTCTTTTTCTCTTTATTTTTAGAAAAATAAAAATTTTTTACTTCTTAAAATCACAATAAAATAATAATTGTATATATTGTAAAGAAATTTTGCTACTAATTAGTAGTAAAGTTTAAAAAATCTTTGCTAATATTTACTTTTTTTTGAAATTTGTTTAATATATGACAGTATTTGAAACTCTTCAATCATTAACTACTTTCATATAATGTATTGTTTGTTAATATACTTTTTTCAATTCATATTTATTTAATAGACTATTTGCTAATATTCCAAAAAAGACAATACATAGGATTGAAAACTAAATATCAAATAGAATTAAAATAAGATAAGTGGAGAAGTTTTGATCATCTAATATAATATTCACTAAAATAAAACTTTTACATTTAATAAAATTTTATTTATAAGTTGTCAAATCCCTCAATATAAATCATTTATTTATATTATTTATATCATTATAGTTGTATTGATTGTTGATATAATTTGCTTTTTTCTTTTAATAGTGGCAGAATATTAGTATCAAAATATGTTCATATATCTTTTGTGCTATAGAAATGTCATATAAAATTAAAATTAAAGAGTTCAAATTATTTTTCTATTCTTATTTCAACAATAAAATCTAATGTTACTTCTTGTTACAATTGTATCAATTTATCTATAATTGATAAAAAATAATGATTTATTGGATACAAACTTGATTTTTTAAGACCTGGTAATATATCAAGAATTAGTATTTAAAATATATTTTATATGGTAAATTAGTAATTGCCATATACTGTATATAATATTAGTAATATACTGTATATTTGAATAATTATTTTTGAAGGCAACAAAATTACTAAATATAGGATTCCAAAAAGTACTAAACCAATACTGAAGTAATATCAAAATAGTACTGATTTATAGTAATTTTTTTTTTTTTTTTTTCACAGTCAAATCAGGACCCACAATGCCACTTTTTAAAGTCCCGGCCATTGACCGAGGTACGTTTTGACAGCTATAGATGATGATCCTAAATACTCGTCTCAGGCCTAAGCCTCTAAGTATAGACAGGGAAGGTGAATAGGTGCTATGTCAAGAGCAGCAGTCCATGCTAATTGCTTTGACAATTCTAGCCTGCAGTCATTACTACAGTATTTCAACCGTTCAGTTTAACTACGACTTACTAGGGTTTAGTCAGCGAGATATCATTGGCGGGATGAGGGTACACCAGTACACCAAATCCGTCTGGGAA